GTATTGTCCATGTATTTTCAGCATTTTCAATCACAGTTGAGAATTTCAAACCAGCCCTCAAGTTGATATAGCACGAAAAGAAGAGCACAATTCCAATGATTGATGACCTCGAAACAAACTTGGTGATTGAAAATCAGAACGTTGGTTACTTGAGGCCATTGTGAAGAGACGTCACCGAGTAGAGCATGTTCCGCTCTTGTCGGACACAAGCTTCTGGTGGATGATGGCTGTCGTGATCGTCCTGGTCACAGTGGTGGTGATCAGGACACTGATTTGGATGGGATTGGGATGGTTATTAATAAATCCTCGAAAGATTTTTTGAAGTAATTAACCACACATGCTTTGGAAATAGTATATATTTACTTGTTACGTATCTATCTATCTATCGATCTATTTATCTATCTATCTAGCTACCTATCTATCTAACTATCTATCTACCTACCTATCTATCTATCTATCTAGCTACCTACCTATCTATCTATCTGTCTGTCTGTCTGTCTATCTATCTCTCTCTCTCTATATATATATCTCTCTCTCTATCTCTCTATCTCTCTGTCTCTCTATCTTTAAGTATCTATAAATAAGTAAAATATGTATAAATATGTATAAATATCAAAAATATCTATAAATATCTTTCTATCTCTCTATCTATCTGTCTATCTATTTGTCTATCTATTTTTCTATCTATCTGTCTATCTATCTATCCATCTATCTGTCTATCTATCTATCTATCTGTCTGTCTATCTATCTATCTATCTATCTCTATCTATCCATCTATCCATCTATCTACCTACCTATCTATCTATCTATCTTTCTATCTATCTATCTAATCTTATCTAATCTTATCTAATCTAATCCAATCTTATCTAATCTAATCTTATCTTATCTTGCTTATCTTATCTATCTTATCTATCTTATCTATCTTATCTATCTTATCTATCTTATCTATCTTATCTATCTTATCTGTCTTACCTATCTTACCTATCTTATCTAGCTTATCTAGCTTATCTAGCTTATCTAGCTTATCTATCTTATCTGTCTTATCTATCTTATCTATCTTATCTATCTTATCTATCTATCAATCTATCAATCTATCAATCTATCAATCTATCAATCTATCAATCAATCAACCAACCTATCTATCTATCTATCTATCTGTCTATCTATCTATCTATCTATCTATCTATCTACCAATCTATAGATACTTATACATATTATGGGAGATATCATGGGTATGTATATATATATATATCACATACATACAGCATTATGGGTCTGAAACTCTTGGTAGCGTACCCCCACATCCAGTAGTTTATCATCATGTTCCCCATTGGTATAGCCACTTTGGGCATCGCCAATTTTTGATACACCCTTACCATCCTTACCTGCACAAAAGGTAACATAAGATAGAGGTTAAACGGACTTTGAATGATAGATCTGAAAACATGAGGACAAGATGTCACCCGAAGCTGAAGCTGCGCCAGTCTGACAGACCTGGCCGACTCCCTCGCTACTAACATGGCTATGTTAACTGCGGGTTAAATCCAGCATTTTCAGGTCCACCCAGATAAGAGCCGTCATTCCAGGACTGACGCCAGGGAGGAAACCCTTCAGGAAAATAAGGAGGCCGGGCAGAGGAGTCGTCCTGGTGGGTAAACTTTCGCTGGATAGTTTTTTTTCATGTTTTTTTTGTTATGAATGGAGGATGATACTAACCAGCAAACACACAGGCCTTGTCCAGGGACTTCCTAGATTGGTCATGGTCTATTTGGTCTAAGATTGAGTCTCTTCGTTTTCCATGCGCTTAGACTGGCGTCGAAGAGTCGTCTAAACCTTGGAGGGGCGCAACCGCAAAATGGTCCATATGGTCACATGAGCAGTTGGTAAATGGAGTGTCATCCTCCACCATTTCCCCAAGAATTGACATACATAAGTTACATAAAGTAAGGTATTCCCTATTTTTGGACAATCCCAGAGAGGGTAAATTCCACATGCTTCAAAACAAACAGCGCATGGAGAACATCTCGGTGGACTTTGGTGGAGCAACTTTTAACCCCCTTGGGCTGCGGAAACATGAAATAAACCACGTGGGAAACCCTCTGAACGGGCGGTTTGATACTAACCCAGAACAACAAATATGCGGTGAGTCCGTACCCTCCGAGAGTCTTCGGTTTCTACGTTTCGACAGGTGCCATGCCGGTAGTGGTGACTCTCGTTGAAAACTTTCATCACATCCCAGAAAAGTCAATGGCAAGGGAAGAAAATCCTCCTATTACCCTCCGGTAATCAAACATGGCAATGGAAAATCACCCATTTATAGATGGATTTTTCCATTGAAACCTCCATGTGTAGAGAATTTTTGGCTGTGCCTGCATCTCCAACTTGGCTGAACTGGCTGGCGAACTTTTTTCGCTTCAGAGATGACCTCTAAACCAGTCATTCGACTTGGATGATGGGAAAATCCACTGGAAACAAGTATGTCTGAGGGTGAAAACTAGTTTTCCCCCTTGAATCAATCCATCGGTTGGATCACAACCTTTACATCCCATTGTACCACCATTATACCGTATACCTCCCAGTTTTTCCCGTATTCAATTCATGTAATTCTTGGTGAATTCCCCAACCTGCACAGGATGCTGCCCATTTGCGGCCCGAGAAAACCTTCGAAGCAGATCAAAGCCTGGACCCCATGGGCACTATGCCTGGAGGATATGGGGATAGGTCAAAATTTAAGCTCTGGACGGAAGGGACCAGAGATGGCTTAGTTTATATGTTTGATATTAACCATCTAATTAAATTATTCGGGTACCCAATTTTGACCAATACCGATACGGCTAGCATGGGGACGCATCCGAAAATTACAAAGCATTTCATCAAACATTTCAGGTGAATGATGACAATTCAGCCAGATCAATAGGTGAATGATACGACCTCCCAACACACTAAGTTCTGAAGCACGGGTTCTGGGGGTGTCTTTGCCATTGGGGGATACATTGTTTTATAAACCGTTATGATTTTTCAGCAGGGAATTAGACTCTTAGATCAACACCAACAAGCTTGCATACCCTGTGTCCTACAGATGCAAAACAGCTGAATGGGTATATTATAGGGCATCGGTGATTCACAGGTGTGTCCGCATGTGCGCTTTTAAACTCTGCAGCGGTAAAGCGGTTGCAAGATATTCTGCTGGTTTTGGTGCAATAACACATACGTATATATATATATATTTACACACACACACACAACTGCTCCTTTGGATTTTTTGGGGAGAGACCAGTTGATGTAGTGACCTGGAGCAATTTGAGCTGGTTTTGCATGCTGTTTGTCATGGCTTAGAACGTGGAAGCAGCGATGCCACCAGGTCCGGCTATACCGGCCTCAGACTCGGACAGGAACCTCACTGCCCGGGAGGCAAACCAAAGGTTTTGAAAAGCCTCAGCTTCGGGGTCTAGGTGGATATGGCATGAAAAAAGCAGAACTTATTGAGTTTACTGTTGGCATGCTACGCTGGCCTCGTTCACTGGGTCTTTCCTTTGCTGATCTTGGATTCGGACTCTGAAACTTGTTGTGCTTGATTTGTGCCGCAGCAACTGGCCGGCACAAGTTTTTTTGGCTGGAAATGGTGAAATCCTCCAAGTGGCTGCTTAAATACCAAAACAACGACCATCCTTGGTTTTCCATTCCGAACCCGCAGGCTGTGAAATCAGACCACCCAAATTCACCGCTCGGCAAGGCTCACCTGCAGGGATGGGGTTGCCATGACACAGTGGCCTCCATGGTAGTCAGTCAAGTAGGATGATGATGATGATGATGATGATGACGATGATGATGATGATGATGATGACGACGATGACGATGACGATGACGATGAGGATTATGATGATGATGATGATGATGATGATGATGATGACGATGACGATGAAGATGACGATGACGATGCTGATGATGATGATGATGATGACGATGATGGTGATGATGATGATGATGGTGATGATGATGGTGATGATGATGACGATGACGATGACGATGACGATGCTGATGGTGATGATGATGATGATGGTGATGATGATGGTGATGATGATGACGATGACGATGCTGATGGTGGTGATGATGATGATGATGATGATGATGATGACGATGATGATGATGATGGTGCTGATGGTGATGGTGATAATGATGACGATGACGATGATGATGATGATGATGGTGATGATGATGGTGATGATGATGATGACGACGATGACGATGGTGATCATGATGCTGCTGATGATGATGATGACGATGATGATGATGACGACGACGACGACGACGACAAAGATGACGATGACGATGATGATGATGCTGATGGTGATGATGATGATGATGATGATGAGGATGAGGATCAGGATGAGGACCAGGATGAGAATGAGGAAAATACAAAGGAGGAGGAGGAGCAGGAGGAGGAGGAGGAGGAGGAGGAAAAGAAGGAGGTGGAGACGTTGAAGGTCAAGGACGGATTTTTGCGTAGCCAGCCCTGACCCAAGCAAAATTGATCGTACAGGAGATGCAAGCGTTCTACTCCTTCGAATCTTTGCAGAAGTTCGCCTTTTGCTGCATAGTCTGGCCCTCAGTCAGTCAGATTGTCCCTGGAAATCCCCAGAATGGGCTTGAGCGAAACTCAGCAGGAAACCCATATAGAGTCCATTGTAAAGACTATGGTTTCCTGATGCGTCCTATAGTAAGGTCCTATAGAGTTTCTCTTTAAGCAGCAGCTTGTCTGATTTCGATTGTTTGAGAGGTCCTTAGGACTGCAATCCACGCACGGAAACGGATAAAATAGTCAGTAGCACACTCTCGATGTTCCGGCAAAATCAATGTGGTTCAGGGTCAACATAAGTTTGTTTTCTGGAGTTCGGGAGTATCACAATTTGAGAATGAACAGACATTTTTTTGGTGCATGGGTCTTCAATGAATTTGACACACACACACACACTGACATTGATGAGGCCTTGAACACGAGCATGATCCTCTGGGGTATTGCGCAGGTCGGGGCGTGGACTTGGGATGGTGGAGATTTAGGGGTTTCCAGTATTTTCCAATTGGATCCTGGACAGAGCTGTTGCTGAAAACTTCGTTTATTCCGTGGATATGTTCCGTTTCATGACTGCAGTATGTTTTCGACGTTTTCGGGTTGCTGTACATGCTGCAGTACTGTAAGTACTGTTTTCCCGCACCGAAGCCTTCTTTTCCCACTGGATGTTGGACTTGCATTTACGCGATGAGCTTGTGCGGCTTGTGCGTTGGAGAAATATTTGAGGGAGATTTTCGTCAGATGTTTCGCAGGAATTCATCATGACCAATGTTTATCGTGCCAGAGACGGCCGTGTCTTGCAGCTGCCATCGCCGCTGTTCTTGGTACTCTGCAATCGACGCTTGGTTCCGACAGTCACTGGAATTTGTAGGGCTGAAAACAGCCAGTGGATTTGGTTGCCGGCAGCAAAGCCACTTAACATTTCAAAGGAACATGGGCCACATGGACTTTGGCGATCTCCACATCAGGAGTTTCAAGCCCATGCGGTTTCATATTTTTTTCGGGTTGGATTTCTTAGCGAATGCGATCTTGGCCTTCTAGATCCACCACGATACTGTAAATGATGCTTGGAATGCTTGAGGAGAGGTGACACGTCTTTGGAATAAGATGAAACCGCGAAACGTATGAATGTTTGACGCTGTGAAGTGGCTATGATTCACAATTATCAACGGCCAAAATGGCCGACTCGGAAAAACATAGCAACTGACTGGGACTTGCAGCACCCTATGTTTGCCCAGCAAGGTATGGTCACCATGATCTACTCAGCCCTTCTCTTGTGGCTTCGTGGGCAGAACCTCTGGTTCTCTGGAAGCCTCGATGCCTTACCCCCTGCTGCCCCTTGACTGCAGCTGGGCGGATGGCTGTGGTGTAGCATCCTTGGCCGGGGCTACTGAGGTCAGCAATACCTGTGCATCCTGGGCTCAGTACTCCAGTGTGGTACCCAGGGCGTGGTCAGCCGCAATCGAAAAAACATGTGGACTTACTCTCCCTATTTAGGTAATCTCCCTTCAAGTATGTTTGGAATCGTTTAGCTGTATCTGAGTTGCATGGTTCCAACCTTGTCAGGGCAGGTCGCGGCCACTGCCGTCAGGTCTGGGCTACATCTCCTTCGGACTGCAGACCACCGCGAAGAGCGTGAAGATCCTGCCCGCAGCCCCTGAGATGAATCCCAGTTCCCTCGGGGTCCCAGCGATCCAAATGAAAGTCTATATTTTGGGATATCCCGGATTTTCAGAAAACCTGTAAGTGGACAACACATCCAAGGAAAAATCCCCAGTATGTTCTATTTCCAAGAAGACATAGACTATCACCTGGTAGATGACTTGTGTTCCCTGACAGCTGTGGTGACTTTGGACTCTGGTCGGTTGTCGGCCTTTGGTTTGACCGCATTTGGGCAGGAGGGATTACTGCGTGGTCTAGAAGATGCCAAGAACAGCTTCATCTTCACCTTGTAGTACCACCCAAAAAGGTAAAGTCATTTACCACTATTTTTCGAATTTCACCAACAATCAAAAGGTCTGGTTAGATGCCCTTTACAGCCCAGCTGTAGGTGATTATCAGCTCCCTTCGGGGGAAGAAGCATTCCCTGACAGACTACGCGGAGTGCATGGTCCTGGCATGCGCTTGCTTCGTCTTTGGGGAGCAAAGTGAAGCAGGGACCGACTCCATGACGACCGTTGCAGGCGGATGCTGGAAGGGCATGGAACCCATGTATAACTGGAGATATCCGGCTGGATATCCCAAATATAGCTGGGCATATCATGGTAAATCCTTGAAAACGGGCAGATAATGAGTTACTACCTAGACATGCTGATGGGATGCAGCCATGCTGACAAAACAAGCAGAAGTTGATGGGGAATTTTGCCATCCAAAGGGTGGGGTAGAACCAGGTGACTCCTTGAGACTAAGCCAAGCATTTTAGAGTCTTATTTTGCTCAGATCTTTATTGGAAGCCGTGTGAGTTCTTGTGCAGGTGTCGTGCTGTTGGCGGCTTACCTCTTGTGCGACTCTCTGACACCTCATTTTCAAGATATGCTCTTCCAGAAGCATGAGGACATTCGCTGTGACATTTTTGGCAGGTTTGAATATTCAGGTTTTGAAGACGGCAGCTCAACACCTCAGCCATCAAAGCTCCTGGCAGAAGCCCAACGTCTGCCTTTTTTTTTTTTACCCAGTAGTCAGTAGTCACCTTTCGACTTTGCAGAAAGGCTGAGAAGGCAGCTGCAGAATGCTTTTAAAGCTGTTGGCTTTGGGCAGGATATAGATGTGGTACAAGCAACTCTGGCCATGTCCAGTATCGCAGTGGTTATGATGCTTGTGGAGTTCTTCAGCTGCAGCTGTTAGGTGGTCCACGCAGTTTTGCGGGTCTAAGGAGGAACATGATCGTGCCATGTTCAAACCAACCTTTCTAAGGGTTTCCGTGTTCTCTGTGACTCTACGACTGGAACTGTTCAGGCATGCTTTGCGCTTGGGGTCTCGTGGTTGCGGCACAATAAAAAACACCAGTGGGAGTTTCAACCGTTGTTTGACGTCTAGACCTGAACCATTGAGAGCCAAGGATGACTGTCACCTTCAAGCTGCCTCTCGTCCAATATTGCATGACCATAGTATCAACCTTTCATGGATGTGAAGAGATATCAGTCACCCAGAGGTTGTGATAGTTGCAGTGCCACAATGAGTCCAGGAACATCAAGGAATTGCATTTGCATCAGCTCTAGTTTTTCGTTCTGAGTCAATTCCTCACTGGAAAGATCTGCAGGTTTCAAAGCTTCACCTTTCTTTACCAATGCCCGGAGGTGCTCGACCGTGGCTGTTTGGGGATGACGAAGTTGTCACCAACCAGAAACAGCCAACAAATAACTATCAACCACTCATCAGCCATCACCAGCCATGCCATCATCAACCACAATAAACAATCAACCTCAATCAACCATCAACAGCCACCATGTCCTTCTCAGATTGAAACAGCTGTGCTGGGCTGTCAGGCCTTGTTGCACATGACGGTGCTGTCCCTGGCCTCCACTTTGACGCAGTACATGATCTCGTATACCATCAAGCGACTGGCTTTGGATGGGAAGAGCTAATCATGCAATGGCTGTTTGCAGTTACCGTACATAAGATATTTCAATTAATAGGAAGATCAGGAAAATGGCTCAGTCTTGGTAGCTGCAGCAGGTGAGTGCCTACCAACTAGTTGGTTTTCATTCGAAAACGAAACAGCACAGCGGGACGTGTATTCATTGGATAGTGCTGCCGGTGCCATGGGCAGATCATCCTCGATGTCCCAACGACCGCTGGGAGTACACCAACACTTTTTGAGACATTTCCTCAAATATGGGGATGGGTCAAAACCCTGGTACCTAGTGAACCCCAAAATAGCTGGGATTTATGGATGTTCATCCCACTAAAAATGGTATTTTTATAGGTATTGATCCATAGCCATATCTCAAATCAGGCTTTCATGGTGGTACTCTGGCTGAGGCATTTTGGGCCAGTGGTCTTTACCATCATCTCGTCGACCCGACAAGTGATCTCCGTCTTGATTTCAGCTGTCCTTTTCAGCCATCATATGTCAGGCCGGGGGCTTCTGCGATCCAACTTTACCTAGGGCCAGGGAAGTGCAATGGAACTGGCTCCATACAACTGGGATTGTGCAAAGCTAGCAAATATCTATATTTATCTATATCATAAATACACATATATATTTATTATATGTCATAGACGTGACATAGCCATGCTGCTCTTGGTATCATTTGCGATCTCCTTGGGGTCTGCACGGGATCGGCTCTTTGCTTTTTTGAAAGTCAAGCTTCATGACTCTGTTGAACATGGTATTGCCATGTTTTGCTGTGTGCTCATGGAAGGATGTCTTTGCATCCAGTTCATCAAAAGCATCCCCTGATACCATAGACTGGAGACCTATATAAAGCAAACTGTTGAAGGGTCTGTTGTAATTGAGGGGGCCCTGGCCATCTGCTCTCATCCGTTGTCTCCCTTCACACCCATGTGCATGCTGCAGATCCGCATGGCTGTTGACATTTGTTGGGCACATCCCATGTATTTTCGATCATAGGGTCATGTAAGTCATATATGATATACATCATACATCACATGTTTTTTCTATCCTCCCTCCACTCACTGGGCAGATGAGGAGTAGTTCGGAATTTGCTTCACCTGTTCTCAGTCACCAGGTTTGGCCATGACGGCGATGTGCATCATGTTCGGGACCTTGATGGTTCGTGCTTTGAGGCCCCTGGCCAAGGATCACAAGGAGCTGGAGAATGTTGAGCCTGAAGCAGCCTGAATGCACGACAGCGCACCCAAAACAGCTGGAGGTGGAAGGGGACGATGATGACACACCATGGAATCCATATTTTTTTGTGTAAAATCACAATTTGGTGGTCTTTGGCGGTGTATCTTTGTTTTCCGTCCTGCTAGTAAAAAACTCCGAGAGATTGCGCGCTTGCGCAGCTTGGGGTCAATTTCTCGCCGGGACTGGTGTTTCTCTGATATACAATATATACAGGCAATATATGGCAATATCATATCAAATGTATATATATATATATAGAGAGATACCACCACCATTATCCATGCTAACAGGATTTTCGAAAAACATATTCTGTCCATTAACTGGGGGCCATTTTGGGGCCCCGCAGTTACGGATACCTCAGGCTCTCTGTATGTGTGTATTCCATGTTTTTATAATTCAATGTACATAGATACTGTCTATAAATGTATATAAATGAATATATAAATATAGACAATGTATATAATATGTACATAAACCATACAAACTATGTATATAATATGTTGCCATAGTTTATGCGTCCTTTTATTTTTTTCTCAGGACTACCAGCGGGTTCCACTGTTGAACTTCTCGGAGAAGTATCTCGGCGAAAGCCTGGGAAGCGGGGTGACTGGGTCCCACTGTTGATTGGCTTCCTTTTTCGCCATTTCCATGAGGATTGGAGGGTTTGATGTTCCACAACAAGTCACCAACTGTGAAGTCTTTTGTGAGATGTCTAGGATTGGCCATGATGTGGGTATTTGATGGTATTTGATGGTATTTGATGGTATTTGTACTTTGTACATCAAAACAAGATCTTCATTTTGGCATCAACGTGGGGCTGGGAACCCAAGTCGCCCTGGGATCTGAGACCGAGGCTGTCAACGTTCTCACCTCTCTTCGTTTGCACGCGCCTGGGCGACTCATGGGATTGGTTCTCGCATGGGGGAAGCCGTGTGGATCTGCATCGTTGTGTTAACACAGACAGTTCCCTTCGTTCACACGTTACCACGGCTGTGAATATGATGCAACCAACCTAGACAGGAAGCTTCCTACTTCCTGAAGTACGGCAGTATGAGAATGAAACACACATCCGACGGCCAGAAGAGATGCTGTTTTTGCGGTATTTGCTGGCGATTTTGCCCCCTGTAAGGGCAAATGATTTCAGCAAAGGTCTGTCACTGTGAAGCAGAATTCAAGTGTCCTTACAGTAGTATACTCTCCAAAGTCCTGCGAAGATGGGGACAAATCGAAAAGGATACTCTAAACGGCAAGGACGGCCATCCACATTGTCTACCTGGTGTACACACTCCTGCAGGACGGGCAGATGTGACCTTCTCTCTGATGAATTCTCCGGTTTCATCCCTCGCATCTACATCTACCATCATCTACCCCTCAAGTGAGGTTTTGAGTTCCAACATATCTCAAGTGCCACAGTGCCTTATATTTGGATCATAACTTTCCGCTTTTGGTAGTATCATGTAGTATCCCATTCAGTCCATACGGCTGACGGAGAGTCACACTGCCCCCGCAGTGATTCAATGGTATGTTTCACAGGATCTTCATAATTCGGTATGAGTCCAGAGTCGCCCATTCTCCCAAGATACCTTCGATTTGTGTTCGTTTTGGGGTGTTTTGACCAGGTAAGCACTTCCCCACCTTACCAGGAATTTCTGTCCACCCATACCTTCGGGGGTGAGCTCTTCAGCTTCCCATTGGTCTTAGCGGCTGAGCTCCGAAAGATGGGTTAAGTCGGTTAAGTCCCAGGAATTCCGGTGATTTCATTGCCAGATTCGGGGCGAGCCCCGGATATTCATGGCTGGAACATTTGGACTTAATCACCATTTATGTAGGCTGCCTAATAATAAACACCACCCCCCTAAATTTTTGAAAATTTTCCTTTTTCTTAGGGGAGGGGTCAGCATTCCAATAGTAAATTCCTGGAACCCTATGGCTGGGATCATGATATGTATCTGATAGATTCTCCATGGTCTTGTTGGGTTTTTGATGGATTCTGAATGGATTTGGTTGGGTTTTGGATTTCTGAAGCTCTTCTTGGAATCTGTCTGGATACTAGACCATGCCCTCTGGACAAGATCAGAACATGAGTTTTTTTGGCAATACTAAAAGTAAATTAGGCAAATTGACTTTTAGTATTGGAGAAAAAACTGGAGTTGGGAAAAAAGTTTCTACTATTGCCATGTTGGGTCCACAATTGGCCATGCCCTCTGGACAAGGTCAGAACATGAGTTTTTTTGGCAATACTAAAATCAAATTAAGCTAATTGACTTTTAGTATTGGAGATAAAACTGGAGTTGGGAAAACAAGTTTCTACTATTGACAAGGTATCATTATTGGCAAGACAACATTTGTAGTTTTTTTCCCAACAGCGTAAGCTAATGGGGTCTTCAGCCAAGAATAGCTCCGGTGTGCATTGGTGCAGGCGCCGGGTCAGGTTCAACGAGGTTCCGGAGAAGGTTCCAAAAATTCCGGAGAAGGTCTGGGAGGCTTTGGTGCAGAGCCAGGTCAGGTTCAACAGGGTTCCCGAGAAGGTTCCGGAGAAGGTTCCGGAGAAGGTCTGGGAGGCTTTGGTGCAGAGCGAGGTCAGGTTCAACAGGGTTCCGGAGAAGGTTCCGGTAAGGTCTGGGAGGTTTTGATGCAGAGCCAGGTCAGGTTCAACAGGGTTCCGGAGAAGGTTCCGGAGAAGGTCTGGGAGGCTTTGGTGCAGAGCCAGCAACAGGGTTCCGGAGAAGGTTCCGGAGAAGGTTCCGGAGAAGGTCTGGGAGGATTTGGTGCAGAGCGAGGTCAGGTTCAACAGGGTTCCGGAGAAGGTTCCGGAGAACGTTCTGGAGAAGGTCTGGGAGGCTTTGGTGCAGAGCCAGGTCAGGTTCAACAGCGTTCCCGAGAAGGTTCCGGAGAAGGTACCGGAGAAGGTTCCGGAGAAGGTCGGGGAGGCTTTGGTGCAGAGCCAGGTCAGGTTCAACAGGGTTCCGGAGAAGGTTCCGGTGAAGGTTCCGGGAGGCTTTGGTGGAGAGCCAGGTCAGGCTCAACAGGGTTCCGGAGAAGGTTCCGGAGAAGGTCTGGGAGGTTTTGGTGCAGAGCCAGGTCAGGTTCAACAGGGTTCTGGAGAAGGTTCCGGAGAAGGTACCGGAGAAGGTTCCGGAGAAGGTCGGGGAGGCTTTGGTGCAGAGCGAGGTCAACAGGGTTCCCGAGAAGGTTTCGGAGAAGGTACCGGAGAAGGTTCCGGAGAAGGTCGGGGAGGCTTTGGTGCAAAGCGAGGTCAGGTTCAACAGGGTTCCGGAGAAGGTTCCGGAGAAGGTTCCGGGAGGCTGTGGTGCAGAGCCAGGTCAGGCTCAACAGGGTTCCGGAGAAGGTTCCGGAGAAGGTCTGGGAGGTTTTGATGCAGAGCCAGGTCAGGTTCAACAGGGTTCCGGTGAAGGTTCCGGAGAAGGTTCCGGGAGGCTTTGGTGCAGAAGGTCAGGCTCAACAGGGTTCCGGAGAAGGTTCCGGAGAAGGTCTGGAAACTTTGGTGTAGAGCCAAGTCAGGCTCAACAGGTGTTTCCAGCGCTTGGCTTCGCAGCACGCTTCAGAAAGATTTGTAAACATTAATCGTTGCGGTTGTTGGGGATACCATACCACTGAACTTTTTTTTTCAATATACTCACCAACGAGATCTGGTTGGTGGTTTCACCCTACCCTAAAAATAAACATGGAATGGGTCTGGATTTTCAGACAGAGACTGGCAATAACAATAGGTTCCATGTAGGAGTATTTTCAGGGGTGAAGCGTTAGCTGCTTTCTTTACTTTTCTCATTTTTTCTCAATCTTGATCGTTTGAATCAGTTTGCTGCTGCAGTTCAAGATTCCACGTTCTCTTCATGTTTTTTGCGACATATCAAATCTTGAGACTGTCTTGGATGAATGGGAAAAGTGTGGCAAGGTGTTGCCTTTCAATGCTTCCAAGAAACAGTGGTGTGCAGCAAGTGCGTCATAGTGGTGTCCCAACTTTCAAAATGTCAACGCTTTCGATTTTCCATGATCCCGACACCAACACTTTCCTCCATTGGTCCATGGACGGTTGCAAAACATCAACGGAACTTTGTTTTGTTTATATAATTTTATATAATTATATACATTATATATTTTTCATTGAATGACTCAACGACATGAGATGCATGTTTTCAAAAAAAGGCAAAGATCAGGGACGTTCCCCAACCATTGGCATTCCCCTCAATGACCCAAACCCAGGTGGCAATCTCCCACAGCGCAGGGGCATTGCTGTCCCTGGGGGCTTTACGCATAGGTGGACATGATATCCTGGTGACAGGCTGCTGGGTTAGGTTGCTTCCAGGATCCCTCGCACATTTTCGAACGTGGATAGGATCTATGGTCATGACAAACCGAGATAAATCCAGTGACTTACCAACCAGGCAAGGAGCATGGTCAACAGCATCATCTTAAGAGATGGTTGTGTTTGTGCCCGCTGTGCCTTTTGTTTCCACCATCAAACAATGAAGGATACACCATGACCAATCTGGCAGCTTTCTTCCCCTGGCCACCACTCGAGAAGGAAACATCAGGACGCTTCATAGGGATTGCCCCGAACATTAATATGGGAACCATGTGCTGTGATCTAAAACGTTGGTTTTATGATGAGATGCCAACTTTTGCGCATCCTATCTCCATGCAGGTCTCTGGCAGACGATACTTCCTGGCTCGTCTGACCTGGTGGCTACATCGCTACAACATGCAGCCCTATACAAGATGTCCCTGGGCAAAACTCTGGGATGGGTCAGTTGGAAGTTCCATGAAAAAGTTCGGAAGTTCAGAAGGGGAACATGGGGGATTTTGGCTTGGCATTTTTCGGCCACAGCAAATCCATGGAATTCCGAAGTGGCTGACCATGGAATGTTTGACCTTGATGGCACTAACGGTTGGCAGCTCTAAGGCTCCTTCCAAATAGCATACCGTAGGAAGCATCTCTCAGTCGTGTGGAGGGAGTAACCGAAGCTTTAATGTAGTCAGGCATGGCTGGCTATTCAAACTTCGCTTTAAGGATCTGAGTACTTTCCTGGAAAGCATTTTGATGGATCAGCAAGAGTTCATTTCACACTTGGGATAAAATCGACCCGGCTCGTTAGCTTGTGGAACCTGCTTTAGACTTATGGTTTTGAGTTTGAGATTCAAGTTTGGTCATGCCCCGCGCTCATGCCGGGTCTGTCATAGCATTTTGGGTATTTTGTCCTCCGCAAGTCAACATACAGACATCGTACTTGACGCCACGTTCCCATAGATAGGGATTCTCCTGCGAACATGCCATGGGAAATCCATGGGCAAATCCATGGGATCTGGACATGTGAGTTTTCAAATAGCCAACTGCGGCCTCTGCGGCTGGGAATCTCTTCATCTCTTCCCAGCCCCAGGTATTTCCCAGCTCAATCACTGACGCTCGGCCGGGTTGGGGCTGGAGACTTGCGAGGTACGAGTTCACCATTGGGGGCGAAAAGCCATGAAAAACCTCTGATCGACCATAGCTACTCGTAGAATGCATCATTCGGTAGCATTAAGCCCCATGCAAACACAGAAATTAAATGCAGACAGGACTCCATTTTATAGCACCGGCGAGGATGAAGACGCTGAAGGTGCTTCCAGTGATGTTGATTGGGACGCTTTGCTGCACATCAATCAATGACATGTGGGTGTCTGAAAATGGGCTAGACCCAAAGAACGATCTTAATGGGGAAAATGATGATAAACGTTTGAGGACAGTCTATTCCGAGAGACGAAGCCACATGGTTCCTTTGTTTTGCGATATGTGACAGGGGCATTTTACAAACCGATGGCACGGGAATCATTGGAGAAAGCTGGATCCTTGGTGGTCTCCGTGGGGCTGCAAGCACATGCTGAAGCCGGTGGATACTTAGCATCAGCAATCGTCGTTGAATCCCATGGACCACTTGCTATTTGAACAGGCCTCCTTTCTCTGGGTGTCTCCGCTCAAAAGCCTCTAAGGACATGCCTGCAAAACCGAACCTACAGTCGTTTGGACTACGTGGAAGGCCTTTTGCTCTCCTGCCTTCTGGCTGCAAAGAGGTCATAACTGTTCCGTTTGCATTTGTTTGTACTACTAGGTTTAACAGCTCATGTCACTGGACAATACCCCAAAAACAACCCCATGAGGAACCACTCCCATTGTACTAGGGTTTGAACCGAGTCCTTTGGCACTCTGCTTCCGACTAGTTGTGCCGCAGTGTGTTTTGGCCAAAAGTTGCCAGCTCAAGGTCGTTTGTGAACTTTCCATTTGGATCCTGACGAGAAATCCAGGTTGACCATCCCTGCAATGTTTTGCATCGTTAGTCAGCAGTGCTGAAGTAGTCCTAGTTGCTGAACATCACTTGCACCCTCTTTTTGTATCTTTCAGCATATTCAAATGAAACTGCATACTTCGCCATACTTCGAAAGCGTTCTGACTGCAGTATCCCATCAACATTTAGCAAACGTCAAACAAGAATCCCACTGGCCCATCCAATATCAAATTTACAATACCACAAAATAGCAACCTTTTCCATCCCTTTGCCTTGCAAATTCCATGATCTCATGATATTTCATTGAGATAATCCAAGATCTGAGACAATGATCATATAACTTATATGTTTAATGATTATCATATCCGATACATATTATATACTACTCACAACGATACATATTAATAAAGACATATTTCTATGCATATATATATATAATAGGTCAACAATAAATAATAAAAATAAATAATGATAATAATAATAATAAATAATGATACTACTACTACTACTAATAATAATAATCATCATCATCCCATTCTATACCATTCCGTCTCATTTTTTTCAGCCGCATGATGTTCCTCTCCGACTTCTCTGCGCCCGTCTCTCGCGCCTCCACGGCTTGCAGCAGTTCCAGCGGCCGGCGCGCCGGGTCCCACCGGGGACTCGAGAACGACTTGGGCGATAACCATTGCTTTCTGAACGTGGTGATCCAGGTTGGAGAAGTAAAACTGGTTGGAAAATATGCGAGAAAAACCGTGAAATTAGATGATGTGGTTGGAGACGTTGGTTTGGCCAACGATATGATGCTACCCACAGAAATTCATAATTTTTTGGTGTTTTTGAGGCAATATGAAAGACCTTTTTCACCCCTGACAGGCCTTCTGGAATCTGCCGTCCTTTCGAAAGTTGTTGTTACATGCCCCGTGGCATGAGCACAGTGCCGAAGGTGAAGAGTCAGATGGAAGTTGCTGCTACTGTGCCCTCAAGTCACTCTTCGACGAATTCGCCTGTTCCGAAGCTGACACCATCCCTCCGGATTCGTTGCGGCAAGCCTTGTCCAGTGTCTATGACGCCAAAGGTCGGTTCAAGACTGGAGACATGGAAGATGCCACTGAAACCATCGAGGCCATTTTAGGCATCCTGCATGCATGCAATGTGCAACCAGTGGGCCTATGTCAAAGCCCATGTGATCAGCATCCATCTGCAGAGTTTGTTGAAGAAGCCAGCGACTCGTTGGTGCTTTTGCATCATCACTTTCGGCAGGTCACATCAGGCATATCCCCTTCATCTCCCCATTTTATCTTAAAGATATCAATTGATTTCAATTGATATTAATTAATATGAATATTGGATATTGATATATTGAAATATTGAAATATTGATATATTGAAATATCTAATTGTTATCTTAATCTTAAAGATATAATTGATATTAATATATACATTTTTTGGATGGGTTGGGTCACTACATCTCAGAATTGGTTTTTCAGGGACACCCCGAAGGCAGGCTTTACCACTCGATTTGGCTGGCGAATCCGTAGCTCCCTCTGAGTAACCCATTGAATCCAATGCGGTAAGCCCCCAAAAAAACAAGAACCGCCTAAATTTACCACAATAACGGACCTATAAACTTAATACATGATAACACATGTACAGTATATTGATTTATATCGTATATGGTATTTTTGTTGTTTTTCAGTTGCTATACATCGAACCAAGGCAACTTCGGATGTCATCCTCTCTGCTTGGCCCATGCTGTCTTCGGCCTCCAAACGGTGGACCTGTGCCGCTGCAGCTTCTGTGGTGCAACTGGGGAGCCGGATGTGGCGGCGTCCTATGTCTATAGCGTCTACGTGTCGGAGCTGGCGAGCCTCGAAGAGGCGGAAAAGCCATGGGTCACCGGAGAAATATGGAAAACTCATGGGGGTAATTGATGGTAATTGGGGGTTGGGAAGATGGTTTTCCAAACATGGCCGTTTTAGATGTTTTAGATCTGGGTGCGTAGAATGTTCGAGTACGTAGAATTGTTGACAGTGGACCTTGATCACTCTGTGAGTGTCCAAGACTTGGGTATTTTCTTGCATCCAATGAATGTGTTTGGGTACCCTCTGGTAATTTAACATAGCTATTGAAAATTGCCATAGAAATAGTGGATTTTCCCATTAAAAATGGTGATTTTCCATAGCTATGTTAAATTACCAGAGGGTATGTTTGGGTCCGTAAAAGGTTCTTGTTCGAGATGATTTCCATGGATTTCCCCTCTAAAAGGGGCTGATGTGGGATGCCCTGATTTTCACGCATTTTTCGATCGCAAACGTCCAACAGATCGGCGATGTTCCACTTGCAGGTTTGATGTATACTTTAAACTACAAGTAACCGTAACCATACTTTTTCCTCTCAAAGATGAAGGTTTCCTTAAACAAATCCTTCAAGTAAGTCTGGGACAGGTTGGTTTCGCCTGAGGATCCATCATCATGGGACAAATTCACCCTGCCAGGCACCAAAGTCCAGCTGGCCCGATCTGCTGCGCACGCCACGAAGGCCCTTTGCGGAGATCTTGAGGAAGCTCTGTCAGCCAGATGCTGGGCAGATCTTCAGGGGCTGTACTTAAAGAAGACCCATGGAGACCCCTTAAACTTAAAACCCATCGATTTCATACATACATTTTGGCTCCTGCAATTGACCTTGTTTCTAGTCTCGTCTTCCGCCTAGCTTGTTGAGTTTGCCCTCAGACACCAGCCTCTTCATCATTCGATGATCTATTGGAACAAGGGATTCTGTAGCTTCTCCACTGTGTTCTGAGGACGAAGGTCGAAACTGCGGAGAGTGCAACTCTCGAAAGACTCTTCTGCGGGAGCGTTGGCTGACACGATGTCCTAAAACCTTCATCTTGTCGCTGGTGTGGCCCAGCTCCAACCCCAGCCGTGACCAACTCTGGTCGCTCCTTTCCATGATCCAACCAGAACTTCGGATGGACGAGATTTTCAGGGTGGAACCGGGCGCCCAGTCGGACCTGTACAGCTTCCATGGCATGATTTGCTACTGTGGCATGCACTATGTGGCACTATTCTGGTGTCCAGCCAGAAAGAAGTGGATCTTCTTCGATGACATGTGTGTGAAAGAAAAGGAGGACTGGACTGCGGTCGTGAATCTAATGACTGCGGGGCAGCATCTGGGCTTCTATTTATTTTATTCCTTCTGTTCCTTCTGTTTCTTCTGTTTCTTCTGCTTCTTCTGTTTCTTCCGTTTCTTCTGTCTCTTCCCTTTCTTCTCTTTCTCCTGTTTCTTCTGTTCCTTCTGTTTTTGCTGCTTCTTGTTTTTGTATCTTCTTCTTCTTCTTCTTCTTCTTCTTCTTCTATTACCTTTTTGAAGCAATACCATGTGGGCATGTTCCCACCACGATCTCACGAAAGTCTGAAAAAAAGAGAGATCTGATTTGGCTTCGTTTTCACGAAAACGAGCTTCTGCTAGCTGAAGTCCCTCCTGCTTTAGCAAGGTATTGCGGAGACTGGAATCTCCAATCGTGTGAAACTTCTCAGTTAACCAACCCCACCCCCGGCTGGTTCACAAGCAGTTTGGCCGTGGCTCAATTCCCCCTAGGGACACCGTCGGCATGTCGCCACCCTACCTCTCACAAAATTTACTTTTCCCCTTCCAAAGGTCCACTCCGATGCCGAAGGTGGACCTTTGAATCTTCCCCAATCGCTGGTCATCATGTTGGCTATGCTGAATGTCCTCATCCTTTTCATGCAAAGGTACATAATCATATGTTCTCATCCTCGTCCCCTCCAACATACATCGCCTCAATACATAGGTCTGGATGTTCGCCTTGCCAACACGCCCCAGCTTCAGACTCGTCCACGTTGACGAAAAAGCTGTGCAGCTGTGCTGTGCCCTTTGTGTTTTCATGCCAAGCTCCCTGTTCGTCCCTTAATTACCAAGTCCGAATCTTTTTTAAGGGTTGATCCTGCAAGCACCTACAGTACTGTATCCCATTGTAGTCTTTGATTCTCGCAAAGCCAGTGGTTGCCAAGGCTCCCTTCTCCTTCTCTGGCTGGCTGAGGTATGTTCCTACCCTCATCTTCTATGAGAACATGTCAGAGGAGCCGGCACTCTCTGAGTCAATCGAAGAACTCACACGACAAGTGGATGCCCTCGAATACCAGTCATGCGCACTGATGTAGATTTGACAGAAAAGTGCGGCGGAAGTGTGCGCAGGCAGCTGCTGCAGGGGGAGAATCACGTGTTGTTTGAGCGTCAAATCAGTATATCATGTCCCAAACCATTTTGAGCTCGCAATCAACATTCAAAGCTGTTTGGAACATTCGGCTACTAAGTAGAGGCTTGTGGTCTCAGATGATCTCAGATGTTTTCAATGTTCACTTATAGTTGCAAGTGTTTGTCTCGGTTTTGGCACACATCGTGATTATTTCACCCCACCTGCTATACTCCATGAATCCAATCTTCTTTTAGCCGTTGCTGAGGTCCATAAAGGGCCCCCGAAGGAGAAAACCTAATTGAACGCCACACAGATTTGCCAGAAGTACGTATGATCACATTTGTGCTCAGTTAGGGCATTGGATATTTGACTTCTTGCCACCATCTCGATCTTTGGAACATCCGTCGCACCCTCAATATGGGTTTGTCCAAGAAAAGGGTACAGTACTCCAAAGATCCAATTACGTATAATAAATTATCATTTTCCACGACATAAACAGCACGTTGATGTGGGTATACTACCAGTTGCAGACAATCCCCAAAATCATATGATTCCTTAAATATCCCGTAAATGTGATGTTATTCTATCGCATGTAAAACAGTCACAGGTTTTTTGGGAGTTTCTGGTTGGGTGAATATCCCAAATGTTTTTCCTCCTGAGGCCTGGTGGCTTTTTTTGTCTGGGATTTTCAGTTCAACCAGATGGATATGGAGCATAGCACCCTGAAGACCTCAGCGGTGGGGATCGCCATGATGGTGGGCTACGTCACGGTGGATTCCTTCACCAGCAACTTTGAGGAAATGGGACTTGTGGTGACGACATGGTTTGGTGGGATCAGATGGTTGATTTGGAGGGGATTTGGGGTTGAATTCCATGATTTCTCAAGTTTTTGATAACGATTTCAAGTGGTCTACCGTACTTCTGCGCAAAGAATCCCTGAGACTTGCAAGTGAAGCTCCCCAAGGATCGGGTTGCTGTGTCTTTGCCGACCTCCAGAATCATGTTGCAAGTGTGAAGTTTGACTGAAGTCAAAAGACAGACTACAGTATCTTTAAAGCCACAGGGCCGCAGGGAGAGTCAGCGCAGGATTCCATCTACCAGAAGTTGAACCTGCAGCCTGGGCATATGTTGCTGGGCATGGATCCTTGGACTTTTGAGAGTTGGCTGGTGAGCCTAGTGATATCCGGAGCTAGGATTTGGTTGATTCGGTTGATCACCCGGTGGACGTTCTGATGCTATGTACTCCGGTGCTCACCTCAGATGTTGTTGTTGTTGTTGTTGCTGTTGCTGTTGCTGTTGCTGTTGTTGTTGTTGTTGTTGAATTACCTATGGTCAATAGTGGTCAATAGTGGTTTAACATTGGTAATAATGGTTTGGACATGTTTGGACTTATATTTTCTTCTTCCCCAGGAAATCTTTTCTGCCGTGCTGGCATGGACCTTGACGCTTGCGAGCGGCGAATTGCTGGCAGCCACGAGGCGCGTTGAAGGGATTGACATTTCATGTCACAAGGATTCTTCCTATTAATCACCATTATATAATCATCATTACTCATCATTAATCATCATTAGTCACCATTAATCACGTCAAATATTGGTTAATGGATGTTAATGGTGATTAATGGTGACAAATATTGGCCCGGATAGTTTACTACGTCAAACGGGGTCCACCGCATGGTTCAACAAGAAAGTGACTCCGTATTCTGCGGGTATCAAGCTCGAACACTGATTCACAGCCATGTCTGGCACCAGTTTTTTTTTGACATCTCAGGATGGGTATTATTTCACAGGAGATATCCAGCATTATCCAGTCCTTTTTTTGGGCGGGCCTGAATCTCTACCCAGCCTCAGCTTCGCAGGTTCATGGTCGCGCAGCCAAGAGTCCTCCTCTTCCTTGGGCCACTTGGCCCGTAGTGCACGGGTGTGGGGACAGCATGGGTCTGTCTGAAAATGCGGTGTGGTTTGAAATTCCGATTTGAGCCGGGCAACACTATGTCACTATGTATGTTTAACCATGATTAACCATCAGTCTCCAGGATAGTCCCCGTACCGGGCCTAGCCCCTGTGGAAATAGGTTGCAACGATGGTTGTCAGTTGCAGTATCCGCCAACTATCCCCAATATACACTTATACAAAATAACAGGCTATGAGCATTCATCCACATGTTCTTGTTGGTTAGCATCCCACCCGGATTCATCAACCATACATACGTTACATACATACAGACGGACAGACGGACGTACATACAGACACACAGCCATCCAGCCAGCATCCAGACAGACATACAGATGTGCATTACACTTTTGTTGTAAAAAGTCGCCAAGTTCCCATTCATCATTTTTGAGAGGAGCATCATGAATGGTCAAAATCGGGAAACACCCATGGTTTCTGGTAGATTTTCCATGATTTTCCCATATGATCTGCAGGATTTTTGCCTTGACAGCTGCTGTGGGCTCACTCGCCTGTGTCCTCACTGTGCGGCTGTGCGGGATCTCAGTCGGCTACAGGTGATGAAGATGGGTTCTTCCATGCCCCAAAGTGGGGCATGGCATGAAAATCCATGAGCATCCCAGATTTTTCCGAAATGGGAATGTATATGTATATATATATATATAGCCAATATATGCGAATATAGTAGAAACACCAATATGAAGATATCCCCAGAATATTGACTACGAGTAGTCCTTTACCAATTTGTGTTGGTTGGATCCACAATTTTCGTGGAAAATGAACGGGTATGGGTCCAGAATTGGGTAGAATGGAACCAGAAAGGCTGATCATTGTTCAGGTCTGAAACCATTCATTTTGTTTTTTTATCTTTGATGAGGAATCAAAAGCTGAAAGCGAAACATCACCATGGTATGCAGTTTTTTTTGTAGTTCAACTACACATGAGTGATTTGCCATTGCCATGTTTGATTACCGGAGGGTATGCGTTGGTTGGGAAGGGGTCTTACATGGATTTATCATTTATCTCAAACCGGGGGATGCCCAGAATCCCCGAATTGCGATCTTTGCGAAGAAATGATGCTAAACTGAGCTAAACCGCAGGATTTCTGCGTTCAAAATTTGTAGATAGGTCCATACAGGGATGGGTTCAAATCATTCAATGGTACCATCGCAAGTCGGGGGGTATGAATATCGAGAAGTCACCCGGTCAACCCCCAAGTATTTTGGTGTGGCTACCCTGATAGGTGACCTGGCATCGCTTGGTGGGATGCCTTGATCATCACTTGAGCCATGTGGAATTCCCTGGTTATGAACTGGGGGGTTATGCAGCGAATAGTTTCTTGGGGATTATGCTAGGGATATCTATTCACCGACCAGTAGTTTTATGGCAACCTAATAGTCGTTCACTTGACGATTACTCATGAGACCTTTGAAACACCATTAACCATCATTAAACCCTGATATGGGTTCACTGCTCTATCCATATTCTTAATTTGTTCACTATTAACCAATGGTTCTTGAGGGATGGCCCCACTGAACTTTCGTTGAGCCAGGTTTGGACCTGCTGTCTTCACGCTAATCATGACTTCCAGAGCCATTTTGAGCCTGTTGTTTTCAGCCTCTCATCTGCAAAGCAACTGGTTTCGACTGCAAAACATGGCAAAATTATTTAAATGCTTTTAGACAGATTGGTTTACAAGCATTTCTCGTATGCAAACGGCTATTTGGGGTATACTGGTATACCATATACCCCATTTTCGGACAATGCCATATTCAAAAAAACGCACGACTGATGCCTGGAAGTGTTGCATCCGTCGGCGTCGTTTGGTGCTTCTCTGGGTCACACTGGCTCCAATCTAAAGCAACCAGTCAACATAGTCAACCAGTCTGAGCTACAGCTACAGTCTAGCACAACATATCAACATAAGATGCGGATGATCCTTGGACCTGAGAAAACGAGATTCCGCGACCCAGAGTCTGTTGGTGCCTGAGGTTTTGTTCTTTCAGCATTCGGTTGACACAGCGCCTTGGTTGAGGACCATTCAAGGGCAATTGGGAGATTTCACTGGACTTGGTCAGTTCAGACGTCCAACCCTTTTACAGACAGGTTTTGGAATTTACACACCCAAGAACTCATCTTGAGCAGTGTAGGTATAGAATGTGAAGCTGTTCAGAGCAGACTCAGGTGGATTGCGTTTCTTTGGTGGCTGTGTCGATCATCACCTTGATGTCGTCTACACGCCGTGTCTCCGCAGCTGGCACGACTTTAGATTTGGAGGTTTCCTAAAATGGGGGTACCCCAAAATGGATTGTTTATAATGGACACTCCCATCAACATGGATGATGTGGATATGTGGGAGTAACCCCCATTTTAGGAAACCTCCATTTGCAGTCAATCTTTTTTTTTGGGCAAGAAACGTCTGCCGGAAGGAACAGAAACCTGTCCCTCCAAGGGTCCACCATGCGGCTTATTGTGGTGGGGTTCAAGGGCACCTGCTTGTTGCGAATATGCCATCATATAAAAACTGCATGGCAGTTTTAAACATTTCTTTTGCCTTCCATCCAACGGGGATGATTACTGTATAATTTATATTAATTTTTAATATTGATTGTGTATATATATATGATAGATAATATTGTATGATTCTATAGGTTTTAATACATGATAGACACATTTATACAGTATGTAAATGTCCACACAGACAGTCCTGACCACAGCATCTTGGTCGAGGCACAGATGCGTCAGCTTCGAAGCAGCTGAGCGGCTCCTGGAAGATGAGAGGATCCATGGCCAGCTGTGCAGAAGTTTTCGCTGGAAAATATAAACATTACTATGACTAATACCGTCTAATTACCATGACTTCTGGACAAACTTCTTAGAAGAAAATACAAATCACCACATGTTTTGTTCCAATTTCAATGCGGAAGATGATGATAGGCTGATAGGCCGTTTCTTTACATTTTGGAGTTCCTATGTTTGGACAAAGCAACATGGAAACTCCTGTGGATGCTGTATCAATGCACAGGAGGCTCTTTTT